GTATCCCGGGGAATGAGGCAGCGGACGCCTTAGCCAGGGAGGGCTCCTCGCATAGGCATATAGGGCCAGAGCCCCGCTTGAGGATCGCCCTGTGTGTGAGGCGGGGAGCTCTCGAAGCCTGGGCGAGAGACCGGGCCGCGGGGGGCTGGACGGTTGCTCCGGGAATGGGGCAGGCGAGGCTTATGATGGATGGGCCCGCCCTTCCTCGGACCAGGGAGCTGCTTAGACTGACCAGAAGGGAGTGTAGACCACTAACAGGGGCCTACACAGGACATTGAAGGCTTAGGAGGCATCTTTGCTTGCTAGGCATTGGAGACGACCCGGAGTGTGTGTGGTGCATGGAAGGGGAGAAGACCCCGTATCATCTGCCCACCGAGTGCCCTGCCTTGACATGGGCAAGATTGGGAGTCTTCGGAACGGCCCTGATCGATCCGGACTCAGTGCACGGTATTGGGCTAAAGGAGTTGCTGACCTTCCATAGCATACCATACCACTAGAGAGCAGCCAATGAAGTGTACCAGGGAGTTAGGGAGTGAGTGAAGACATTAGGGCATAATGAATTTAAAGTTCTAAATGCAGCGCACTGGTCATAAATGCCAGAAATGCACTGCAGAGAGAATAAAAATATTGGTGTTTCGACCTTCGAAGACACTCCTCAATTTGAGTCCCAGTCTCACATTCCTACGGCTCCTATTATGGTTTTCTATAAATACAGTGAAAACTCCTTATAGCGAACATTGTATAACATACGAACAAAATTTGTGGTACTCTGTATAACGAGTTTCTCACTCTCTATACCGAAAGAAAAAAGGGCACATCAGGTAACAAAGTAAGGAATGACTTAATGAATACGGCGAGTATGGCGTGTAGGCGAAAAATTTCATCTCTAGATGATAAAGTTGCATTAATTCGAGAGATAGAACAGAGAGAAAAGAAAAGTGATAGGGGAGGTCGATACGGACTTGCACCCTCGACAGTATTCATGATTTGAAAGTGCAAGGAAAAAATCATTCAGACTGGAGCGACAGGCAGTTCTAGTAAAGCCAAAGTTTCAAGATTTAGATCAGGCAATGTTGCAGTGGTTCCAAGAGCAACGTCTTAAAAATATACCACTCTCTGGACCTATCGTAAAACTAAGAGTAGAAAAGTTTGTTGAACGGCTTGGCATTATCGATTTCGAGGCTTCGGAAGGATGGTTGTTGAAGTTCAAACAGAGACATGGTTTAAATTACGGACAGATAAGTGGCGAAGCCCGTGATGTCCACAGAAACGTCACTAACGATGAGCTGGAGAAGACGTGGCCAAAACTAGCAGAAAAGTACCCTGCTGATGACATGACGCCAGATAAAACTCTTAAGTTTCGAAGCGAGAAGTGTGTAGGTGCTAGTAGCTGCTAGTATGAGTGCGAGAGAAAAAAGAAAGCTAGTCGTGATTGGAAAATCAACTAACCCACGATGTTTTAAGAACATCAAGCATTTGCTGGTCACTTGCAAGGCAAACAAGTCTGCATGGATAACATCGCAAATTTTTGAAGGGGAGATACGGAAATAGGATGCAATTAAAGGGGAGAAAAATATTACTTTTCTTAGATAAGTGCTTTGCACATCCCCATATTCCAAATCTACGGAATAAGTGTATTACAGCCGATGGACCAGAGCGTAATAAAAAGTCTTAAAAATCGATATAGGAAAAACATTTTAATGAAAATGATCGAGCGCGAAGACAAATTTTCTGTTAATATGCTAGATGCAGTCAACTTTATTAGTAAAGCTTGGAGAGAGGTGACTCCTATCGGCATGCAGGGCTTATTACCGAGACAAAATGCTAACAGGACTTGGAAGATGATCTGCCACTAAGGCAGTATATAACGCAGTTTGAAACAACAATTACATTTACAAGTGAGGAGTTGCAAGATTTTATGGTGATAGATCAGGATTTGCCTACCACAGCAGACTTGGCAGAGGAAGCCATATTACAACAAACAAGAAAGGGTAAGAAGAGCACCAAGAGAAAGAAGATGAAAAAGTTGATTTGAGACCACCACCAACCATTCATCGAGCCCTATATTCAGTTAAGCTCGACAAAATGGTGAAAATAAAAGCCAAAGTACGAGATGCGTCATGGCATATTAAAAAAATCAATAGAAAATGACCGATTAAATGAAATATTAAATGTAGTTCTTAAATATTTATATAAAATGTTCCTAAGTAGATGTTAATGTATATAAAATAATTAAATATTAACACATATGCGCATTGTTATTTTTCAAGTGCCATAACTTTTTATAATGAAAAAAAAGTCCCTTCAATTTTGCTATATAGAGTTTCGACTCTATTTATACCTCTCGATATTTCTTTGGATTTTAGGATTCGCACTGGATCTTGCACTTAATTTTCTCCATGCTGTGTTGATGTTTTCCATTAGCATTGTTAGCTAGATAATTGAACTTCGTGATACGATCAAAGTTGTATTCATTCATCGTGTTGTTTTGGTCCGCAATGTCTCTGCTTTGTTTATTTCTTGTTGAATAAATGTTTTTTTTTTGTCTGGGATAATTTTGAGAGTTGCGCTTTTTTCAAATCATCGAAGGTAGTTTTCGTCTGCAAACGCAAGCGCTGAAAGTAAGTTTAAACACATTCTTGGGCCAGATTGAAGACTGGCGGGGAGAGAGCATGACCTTGTTAGGTCAATACTTTATATCAAATATTTGAAAAAACTCAATACCAATCTGCCCTTTGCTATTTGCGGCAGCAACACACATCTAAGATATTGTGACTGGTTTCTTGGGAAGTTAATGTCCTCCATTGCTTTGATGACAAAAAACGGTAGAGACAGGTCTAGATTGAATTATCAACATTTTTCCATTAGTTGCCTGACGCTAAATATTTGATCTATTGTGAAACTAATGCGATAGTCCCTGTAATTTTTTTCTATATAGGATTTCAATAGTACAGTTGCTAGAATTTTATGGGTTGTTTAAGTAGAGTAGGCGTATTTCATCTTACCGCCTTTTTTATGGGGACAATAATTCCTTGCTTTTATTCACTCAACATAACTTCTGTACTACATATATAAGTTGGTGAATGTTTTCTACATCTTAAGACATTCGCCGGGATGTTATTATTCAATGTGCCTAGGACTCATTAATATATTACACGTATTCATGAAACTCTGAACATTATTTCAGATTTGGAGTCAAATCTTTTTATCTAAATTGAAAAATGGAACACATTTTTTTTAACGGTCAAATTTAAGAACGAGCATCAGGAACAGCTATGGCTTCTCCGTTATTACTAGTCATCGGAAATATTTTGGAAGCTTTTGAGAAGAAAGCCATCGACACCATCCATCTAAAACCAATATTATGGAAACTACGTCGATGATACCTTTGGTATATATCAAATTTTCTTCGTCATTTAGGCTCTAAACACCAGACAGCAAAGCTATGCACCGACGGTTTTGTTTAAAGAGCCACAACCTGAATCATTCAACAGAGAATTCACCTACACAACACCTAAAATCTCTTTGATAATTTCGGCAATAAGCGTTCCATCACTAAATATATTCCACCACATCCTACCAAAGAAAAACTGACCCCTGACCCTTCCATACATTCAAAATATTACTAACCACATATCAAAAGTTCTTCAGAACTATAATCTTTTTACTTTTTAGATTTTTCAAAGACAATATTTCGTTTGAGACATACAGAAATCTCTAGACAATCAAACTAACTTAACCCGAACTCAAGTCTTTAACTTTCTGCAATATCAGAATCAGTGCCATCAGTTTTGTCCTGCCTTTAGGTCTGCCGACGGTCAACCACGTCAACTTTATTAAGTTTACCAATGCAAGTATAGATCAGCCTCAAAATAAACATGTAGCTTTAGGTATGTTATTCGATTTAATTAAAACCTACGACTATATTGATAGACAATTGCTTCTGTATAAATTAGACAAGTATGAAATTCGGAGAAACGTATATGCGTGGATACATATACATTTCATAGAAAAGACAGAGAGTAGGAATTAGGGAAGATAATTAAGAAATTATGTACTATGAAAAATAGTGTTGGTATTGCACAAATTAGCAGATTGAGTGAAATTTGAATGTTTTTCTGGAAAATAATGTTTCCAAAACGAACTATGCAGATTACAACAATCTTTTGAAACCACCACCCACATTTATGAAAATATAAGAAAAAGCAGAGACCTAGTTACAATCGCTAATTGGTTTAATGGAAATAAACTTGTACTGAATAAAAATAAAATGAACGTAATTACCTTTACGTACTATTTTAAAATTTTACAAAACTGCTTTAAATAGAAAAGCAGAAATAAAATTCTTGGGATTTTATATTAATGACTTTTAATCATGGGAGAAACCAATTAACTCTGTGTATCTAAAGCTTGGAATTGTAAGATGTGGGATAAGAATAGTAAAACCCTTAAAACCATATATCATGCTAACTTTGGATCAACCATGAGGAATGCCATAATCTTCTGGGGCATTAGCGCTAAGTTACAAAAAGTGTTTATGTGTGTGTGTGTGTGTGTGTGTGTGTGTGTGTGTGTGTGTGTATGACACAAGAACTTCATATCGTTTATATCCTCAGCATCGATTAACTCTGACGAAAAAGAGCCATTATTATATATCTTTTAAGTTATATAATAAATAGATTGAAAAATGTATTAATAATGTCAGTGTAGGGCGAGGACCATACAGAAACTACTTCTTGAAATAAGACCATACGAAGTGACAGAGTTTTGGAAGATCTACCACAAGTATATGAATCGGATTGAGACTATTCAAAAAAAGCTTTTTAGAAACCTTCATTTTAGGTATAATATAGATATGTAAATGATATTAGTTCAAAAACCTTTACTACTTTTACTAAGCGAAAAAATCCGAAAGTATTTCCAATAACTGCTCGTGTATATCACGAGCGTGTTACATAATACCCATTATAAATACTATATCACATATTTAGAGTACTTACTGAGATGGTATTGAACAATGGAGTCGATGTCGATATCTTGCTTGGAGATGTGCTGAAAGGCCGCATTCAGAGGCGCGAATATCGTAAGGGGCTCGTATTCCAACGTAAAATTGCACACCTGACACGTCTTCAGAATTTGAAGGAACTGAAAAACAAAAGAATATTATATACAAACCCATTTCAAAATATGCACAAGGATAGTTTTAAACCGGATTCTGGCTCGGTAAATTTCCATATGAAAATTTTTCCTATTCCCGGAATATAAATTGCCAGAGTGAGACCCCATATATTATTCCAAATGATAACTTTTTTTTTCGAGAATGTTGATTACAGAGTAGTTGCTTTACTGTGCAATGACCATAATGATAATCTACAAGTAGGTATAAAAAGTACCGCAGATAAATATATATTATTTTGGTAACAACAATAATAACAACATAAATATTACAAATATTATGCATACACAAATTATATTTGTATGCGTTTACAAATGTGTAATAACGTCACAAAAGAAAACTAAGCAAGATTGGCAATCAAAAATTCATTGATGCTATCAATGTGGGTTCTAATTCTTCTCGCATAATTTTAAGAAAACTTTTATGTACATATATCATGAGCTCTTCTCTGTAAGCGTCGATCAATGCATGACGTAAGAAAAGCTTTCAATTCTGGTACTGTACCATCAAATTTATTTATTGTTATTTTAATTAAAATGTACCGCCCAAAAACAGTTAATATATCTATATTTAAATTTGCAAAATTGCAAGTATCTTTTGAACCACGAGAACTCTCTGATTATTAGAATTTACTCCTCAGATCATTATTTAAAATTACATATTCAAAATTTGCTAAATATGAAACCAATCCGATGCTAGAGATGAAGTTTTTTTGAGACAGAGAGTTTTATTGAGAGTACTTACTGAGATGATATTGAACGATGCGGTCAATGTCAAAAAATTCATTAACTGAAACGCTAGTATTGCGATTTGACTTGACTTTGTTATAAAAAATATTTCCCCAGTTTTATCTTTGGTAATATGGTTGAACCAACTGTGGAATGTACGCCTTGTGTTATCTAAAACTTCTGTAGCCCCTTTTCCTGATATTAATAAAATTATACCGACAGCACACCATAACATATAATTTCTATTTTTTCATGTCACGGTGGTATTTGTCATGCCAAGTATTAAATATGTTCTTTGGTTTTGGATTTTAGGAGATCATCATCACTCGGAATCACTACATGTTGATACAGTCGTTGATATTTCCTGTTATTCCGTATCTGTAAAGTTTGTCAGAAATGTGTTTCCAACTATACCGTCAAGTCCAGAAACCAAAAAATTAGAGAGCAAAGATGATTTTTCGAATTGAGTGATAGATAATAACGGTTGTTCCTGTTTTTCCAACTATTCTTGTTACAGTTCATACAGTCGATACTTTGTTTTTGAGGCACAAACATATTTTGTTGTACACAATTGTTTAAAACAACCTCAAAGTTTAGTCGATTGAAAACAAGGAAGCATATACCAAAGATTTGGCGACGTCAATATTCGATTCAATGGTCAACTTTTGCGAGCCTCACGTTCTTCCAACCTTTCGATTTTAGAGTTTTCTGTTAGTTTTTTATTCGTTTTGAGAGCGGCGATGAAATCTACGCAAATAATACAAGGAACAGTTATTGAGTTTTAGATATATTTTGTTAATAAACTTCTGGATTCCTCCTGCGTCGGTTTTTATTGAGTCGCACTTCCTAACGTTTCGCCAATCACCCTGTTGGCTTCTTCAGAGCTTAACTGAAACCGACGCAAGAATAATCTAGAACTTTTGTAAAAAGTATTACAGATGGAAGTTTCTTTGAAAAATTCGCTTTTAAATATGTTAACAAAATATGTTAACAAAGAAACAACGTTTTCTAGAAACAAAAATGAGAACTCCTCAAAAACGTTGAAAATGTGACCCCTAAATTTTCTACTTAAAGTAGAAAGTAGAATACTTACATAAAACAATGCAAAAAAATCATTAAATTAGGAATTTTCAGCTCTTTATTGTAGACATGCTAAGGCAAATAAAACGTAAAAATTAAAATTGCCTATGGTATCTCAAATAGTTTTATAAACTACGCTTTAGTCACGAGAGGAGCGACGGTTTAATGGACTTAAAAAATAGGACGAAGATAACTTTTTTTCTATATGAAAGTTTCGAAAATTGATTCTCTTTGAATTTTTTTAAAGTTATTTCCACAAAGACGGTATAAAATTCCATCACTTACAAATATTAGGCATTTTAAACGCTGTCTTATCAGCTTCTAGAACTCTGTGTGTTCGATTTTTATGGTCAGTCTTTGTTTTTTTGTTAATATTTATTTAATGTTTACATCAATAAGTTATAAAATTGTTTTTTTTTTAATTTAAATATTAATAACAATTATTCCTATTACTGTTATTATTATATAGTGGAAGTTACTTTGAAATAATAATTATAATAATTTACTACCATTTCTCACGATTAGCTTCTAGAGCTCGATTCCCTGAAAATTATATCGAATAATCTAGAGATATATTTTTGTTTTGCGCTCATAAAAAACTTTATTAAATTTTTTCCATACAGGAAAAAAAAAACTGGTGCGTTAATGTCGAAGCACATTACCACCGGAAATTTATAATTGGCGAAGGCAAGACACATGGACTAATTATGAAGGCGTCTTTCAAAGAAGGGTCATAATTAAAGCTTGGCTTTGCCCCCAAGCTGCAATATTCTACCAAGTCCGGACGTTTTACTGGGAATTTAATAGGATGAATAACTTAAATTAACGGGACACTGACTTTGGATCTACGATGATTCACTTCAAGTGCATAAACCAATTTATTACATTAGTGTAATATGTTTGGTAACTAAAGCGACGTATTGAAGGGACACGGGATCGTAAACTACATAGGTAGCGACAAATGTATAAAAAAATAAGTCAATTTCATATTTTTAAAAAGTGATTTAAGTTTCTTTCACAAAAATGTAGAGTATTAGAACCTCATTAGGTCTGCAAAGGAACTAGAATACTTGATCCACTTTCCTTGGAGTGTTTTATTGCAAAATTCGTAAAACACAAATTCTATTTTAGGCATTATGAACAGGTTGGTCGTAATTGGAGTGTTTTAACAGGAATAGCCTATTTTTGAACTAGATAGAGCAAAAATTACATGTCAAATTCTCGAATTTTGAGAAATATTTAATGGTTAAAATCGCATGGCTATATCTTCACTGCCAACCTGGATGTAGTGCATTTTTCGACCCTTTTGAAAATTACCTAATATTTAAAATAATTATTTAATAATTTAATTTAATTTTTAATTTTTTTTTTGAGGAGGAAATGCTTCATGCACGCCATGCGCATGGTGATTTGCATCATGGTAGTGTGCGACTCTTCGAGGTTTCGGACTACCCACTAAAACCTCATGTTGGTCCCATCATTACACCCCCACATATCTGCAGGTCCTGCCTTGTTTGTTTTTGTCTTTCAAGTGGGTCTCTCCCTTTTTCGCTCAAAATTCTTCTTAGCATATCTTTCAAACTCGCCCATATATTCCATCTCTTTCCATCATCTTCGGTACAATGGAATCTGGATCTAAGGCGCGGCCTATTGTCCAATATGTTTCCTCCCTTAGCTAGAGTATATGCAGCGGTAGGTGTGATCCTTGCCAATTTTTTTAACGAAACAGCCGTGCGCGCTTAGGGCCTGTGTTAAGTAGAAATCTTTACTAGAATGTTTGCAATCTATCCACATTTTCAGGTTCGGTATGAGCTTTTTGGTCCACCGGGCCTTTAGAGTCTCATTTTGCTACCTTTGTTGGCAGGTGTCCAGTGCATTTGGTTTTGTTGGTCTCCGCCTTGGTGTTTGTAGATGTGTGCTTTCGTCAATTGACCATCAAGTCGATTTGGCTAATTCTGTTTATTATGCTGTCTACTTCGTACTTGTATTCTTTAATTGGGATATTTGGAGAGATGTAGCAACATATAATGCGGCATTTCTTTATATTCAAGATAATATATCCTTTTCCTGCTTTGTGATCTAGAACTTCAATATTTTTTGACAAACATAGAACCGCCACGTTAGTCCTTTCGTCCTTGAGCCACTCGCACATTATTAAGATGTCCATGTTTAGCTGTTTAGCGGTGGCATAGGCCATGTACTGACCGCGTATGCCTTTCCCACGTTAATTTGTAGTATTTTAATCGTTTTCTTTTGGTATGCTTTCCCTGACTGGTGCTGGCAGTATTCCGCATTATTGCATTGTTTTCCTAGGTGGCCTTTTTGACTGCACTTCAAGCAAGTATTGGTTTGGTCTAATCCATTGCAGTCTCTGGTGTGGTGGCCAAATTCCAAGCATCTGTAGCACCTGATTGTATTTATGTAACCCCTAACTCGGCATGGTATCCATGCTATCCTTACTGTGCCTTTTTTAATTACATCCTTTGCCAAACCTTTTTTCAAGGCGACTGTGGCTGTTTGTCCGCCTACCCGGTTTAGTCTGTCGCCATTTATATCGGTGTTTTTAATAGTGACTTGGGTGTTTTCATTCGTACTTTGTATGTTACGTTTAAGAGCTTTCTATTTGTATCCTCTGAATTCCATCATTACATCACTTGGTCAAAGTCTCTTTTGTTAGTGCGAAGAATATCTGCGTATTGCTTAACTTCGTATTTGAGTATTATTTTCTCCGTTTGCTGATTACCAGTTTCGGGTTTCAACTTAGTATTTGAGGAGTAATTACCTCGACTATCCTATCAGACTCTTCGTTAGTCGTTTTCCAGGTTTCCAACCGCAGTCAGCTTCGGTTACTTTGTCCCGTTTGTTGTGCTTTCTTCAGAAGTTTATTAATGATGTCATACAATTTGCTAACATCATTTACACCATCCGGGCTAATTTTGTATGGTAGTACAAACAGTATTCTGGAACCCCCGGTGTTTTTGCATCTGCTTATAAGCGCGTTGTGCGTTTTTATATATTCCCCGCTTTGAGGTTTTCCTCAAGGAGGGTAGTAATGTCAGGGAAGTTCGATTTAATATACTCTATATATATAATATATAATATATAATATTTTAATGTTTTTGATTATTTAGAAAAAAATTGATACACTACAGCATGTGGTA